AATAAATAAAAAAACAAACCCGAATTTTTAATAAATTTAATGTATTTTAACAAGTAAACAAAATTTTACGAACAAACATTGAATTACATTCGAAACGTTAATTTTTTTTTTTTTAGTTTCAATGGGAAATGAATAAATTTATAACGAGTTTGTTTGTTTGTTTGTTTGTTTGTTTTTGTAAAATTTAAGTGTATGTAATTTCAATAAAAGAAAATTTTCTTTTTCTTTTTTTTTTCCCCCCCCCCCACCCTATTCGCGTAAAAATAAAACGAATCGAAAATGCTTTATTATTATTATTTTTTTTTTTTTTACTTTTGAATTTTTTATTTTATTTTTTCATTAAATGGAAAGAAATTATTTAAAAAATGAAAATTTCGTAACCGTCCTTTTCCTCTACCGGATGTACACCCGCACTTCCGGTCGAAAATTTTCTACGTTAATTTTTTTTTTTTTTTGTTTTTATCTTTTTCTCATTTTTTTTTTATTAACTCTTAAATTATTTTTAATTAATAAACAATCATAGAGTAATAAAATCATAGAATAAAAAAATCAAAGAGTAATAAAATCATAGAATAATAAAATCATAGAGTATAAAAAAATAATTTCTTTTAAATAAATCGTCGCCCATTTCAAAATTAAAAATTTTTCGTTTCCGTTTTTTTTTTTTTTTTTTCCACGATTTCATTTCCGACGGAAGATAAAAAAAATTAAATTTTTAAAAAGACGTGGCACTAGATTAAAATCACACAAATAATTTTTTTTTTTATTCAAAAAATAAAATTAAAATAAAAATAAAAATTTGAACGTTCTTCGCCCTACCAAACCTTAAACAATTCATTCATTCATTTATTCATTCATTCATTCATTCAATCAATCATTCATTCAAATTATTATTATTATTATTATTATCATCGACTTAAAAAAAAAAAAATGGACGTTAACAATTTGTAACGCGTTGTAACGATTAAGGATCGTAACAAAAACGTCGTGATAATAATTAATCAATTAATTAATTTATTATTATTATTATTATTAAAACTTCAATACAGTATACATCACAATGATTATTATTATTATTATTAATTTTCGAAAAAAAAAAAATTTCACGTTCGGGTAAAAAGAAACGTTTGCGAACGTATCAAAAAAAAAAACAAATACATAATAATATACATGAATACATACATAGATGGGTGGGGGCATGTGTGAGGGAGGAGTGAGGAGAGGAGGAAAAGGAGGGAGAGAGGGAAAGGGAGGGGGAGGGGCGTGTGAAGAATAAACATGCAGACAAAACAGACATACAGACTTTATCAGTCTTTTTTTTTTCTTTTCTTTATATATATACATTTATTAAACAGCATTATTACATTGTTATCATTATCATTATCAGTATTATCATTATTATTATTTAAAAAGAAAATTTTCGAGCGGCGGAAGACGTTTTTGTTTCAATTTTTTCCGGAAAATTTTTATAAACGGACGAGAAAAAAACAAAATGAAATAAGGCAATAAATAATAATAATAATAATAATAATAATAATAATAATAATATTGAATTTGTTTGTTTGTTTATCACCGCCGACTATTATTATTATCATTATTACGAAACTACAACTAAAACATTTTTCATTCGTTATTATTAATAATAATAATTATCATAAAAAAAAAAATGGCGGATTTTGTTTCTTTTTGTTTGATATGCGATTTTTTTTTTTTTTTTTTAAATTATTTTGAAATTTTAAAAAATTACGTCCGTTATTTTAATAATGATAATGATAATAATGATAATGATAATTATTATTATTTCTCAGGTTGGTTTTTATTTAAAAATCTGGACCCCCGAAAAAAAAAAAAAAAACAAAAGTTTTTTGACGCTCTGGAGAGAACGAAAATTAAACCGACCGTTTGCTCGTTTTTTTTTTTTTTTAAACAACAGCAACAGCATTATTATTATTATTATTATTAGGTAGTCGGGTACCCTGTACAAGTCATGGTTCCGTTTTTTTTTTTTTTGTTTAAGCGTAAAAAATATTTTTTTTTTTTCTTATTTGTATATGAAAAAATTTTAATCGGCATTTAATTTAAATTTATGTATTAACAATAATAATAATAATAATAATAATAATGATGATGATAATGATAATAATAATGAAAATGACGACGACGATGATGATTATGATGATGATAACTGCATCGTTTTTTTTTTTTCGAATTCAAAAATAAAATAAAAAAAGTTTTAAAATTTTAATATAAACGTCGGCCATTTAAAAAAAAACTCTGGTAAATTAAAAAAACGATAAATCGATCGATATATCGATAAATTTTTAACGATACGAACGGAAAATCGAAATTTAAAAAAAATTTTTTAAAAAAAAACGTCGTAACGGTTTTCGAAAGCGCGTGACCTTGAAAAATGACGTCGCTCGTTCGAAAAGGCGGAAATTTCGTCATTCATTTTTTTTTAACGGTTCAAAATTAATTAATGACGTCATCAATCTCAAAAAAAAAAATCTTTTTGCATTTTCCCCGTGACGTTCGTCGAGATGAAATTTTTCCACAACGACATCTATCGATAAAAATTTTAAACGAACCGTGCCTAACGTATTCGGTGAAAATCTCTAAAAGAAATTGTCAAATCGCAACCACCCTTTCCCTCTTCCCCCCCTCTCTCCCCTTCGTACAAACAACAATTTGACGACAACCACCTCGTTTAACCGTTTGTTCGCAAAACAACTTTCAACCACATCAACCATATCGTTTTCCACATTTCACCTTCCCTTATAAACTTTTTTTTTTACTAACCTTTTTTTCTCGTTTACTCTCCGCTTCATCACTTTTTCTATTTACACGACATATTTTATTAAATAAATTTAAAATTTTTTTATTTTGTAATTTTCTTTCGTGTAATTTTTAACAAAAAAAAAAAAGAAACTTTTTCCCTTCAGATAACAAAACGTTAAATTACTTTCCGCCATCTTTGTTTAATTACACCACCGCCTTTTCGAAAGTCGTCTGCTTTGAAACGATTACGCAAACACACACCATCACCTTTAACGACGTACGCGTGTTATTAAAATACAATAAAAAAATTTTTTTTTACCTTGAAAATATGAAAAAATTTTCTAAATCCTGGATAACGAACCCGTAAACCCTTTTCTTGTAATTTATCCAATCCCGTAATCATCCCGTATCATCCAGAACCGATCCAGGAACCGTCAAAACAACAATTTGAATATAATTTTCAAAATCCATCCTTCGAAAAATATTTTTCAATCGATTCCACCTCACCAGCAACGAAACCCTAACTAAAAATATTTAAAAAAATAAAAAGCAGAAGACAAAAAAAAAAAAAAAATGGCCGACTGATCGATATCACATATGAATAAGTATAATTTACTTATTTGTTAAAAAAAAAAAAAAATTAATTTATTGCAATAAATAATAATGATAATAAAATATCAAAACGGCCATTTTGTCCGGCTTTTGTCGTTTACATTTAAAAAACAAATAACAATGATAATAATAATAATAATAATAATGATAAAAAAAATTATAATTTTTTTTTTTTTAACTTTTTCTTTTGAATTCGTTCAACTTTCCCCCTTCCCCTTCGCCCTCCCCCCCGTTTTCCTTTTAATTCTTCTGGAAGATAAAAAGTCTCGTCCATCATTTTCAACTGCGGATGAATAACTTTGCATCCTTTTTAAACACTGGAAGAACTTTCTTGCTCGTCGTCATCATTATTTATTTTTCACGAAGCCACCTTTGGCTAAGAGTTCTGCGATTCTCTGTGGTCCCCTGTCGACACAAGGGATTAAATAAGGCATAGCATCGATTGTAACGTGAAACAAAAAAAAAAGTCGTGGAAGAAGAATGATGGTGATTGGATGAATAGGATGAGGGGTGGGGGGGTTCGATTTTTCAACAAAAGTCACCTGAATGCGTTGCAAGAAGTACATCGAGCGGAAGTGAACCTCTTCTACGCGTCGACATTATCGTTTCCGAATGCGTTTCTCCTCCTCCTACACCTCCTCCTGCTCCGCCGTGTCTTTTCGAAAGGATTTCAACCTTGAGTAATATGTTATCCGTTTCTTGTTTTCCGAAACAAAACATTTCCGGTCCACCGGAACTGCGCCTGCGCAGAATTTTCTTGTTACGATTACTGCTCCTAGTTTTCGTCGCCGTCGTCGTCATCGTCGTTTCCGGCCAACTCGTTTCCGTCGGAATGGATCCGCGTCTATTGTATGGGCAGTGTTGTTGGCTTGTACATAAATTAGTACTTGAGTCTTGAGTCAATCGAAGGGCGAATCCTTCCTCTGTATCTAAAAATCGTTTATTAACAAAAAAATCACGTTCCGTTACGTTTTGTCATTAAAAAAAAAAAAAAAAAAAAACTTTTTTGCTCACGACATCTTATTGCATCCGCAGGTACTGAACCCCGTCTTGGGTAACGTTCGTTCCATCCCCTGAGCGCCAGCGCCATGGGATTTATCGCTTCTGACCCAACCGGAGCCGAACCTCGACGCCTTGTGAGTTGACCCTAAATTCATAATAATAATAATAACAATAATTTTCATTAACTAATAATCGTTGTAAGCAAAAAGAAAAAAAAAAAACGTACCTGAGTTGAATTCATTCTATGTCCATAGAGTAAATCTACGTCAAGGTCGTTTCCGCTAAATTTTCTCGGATCCAAATTTTCCTTTTCGTGACAACCGGAAAATCTTTCGTCCCACAATTTGGCCATTTTAACACGATCGTGACTAGAACAAGGAGTTTCACGTTTTCCATTCGTCGACGACGACGACGGCGACGGCGACGACGTTTTGTCGACGGAATCGACGTTCGCGACGGAAAAACAACTACGATTGTTGTTTTCCCTTAAAACGGCCGTTTTACAAAATGGCGGAGTCCTGGAACCGTTCGAGGATCCGCAATGAGTATCATTGTTTAAATCGACCGAACTATCCCCGCTCAAACCCCGTTTCCCGCTCATGTCCGTTCTCGACGACGAACTCGATTTGTTCGCGATCCCCGCGACGACGTTCATGCACCGCGACATTTCGACCGTGGCCGACAAATACCGCTGACGAACGTAGGGTTGCACCGGAGGAAACGTTTGCTGTCGCGTCAGATGTGATTTAGCCGTACCGCGTAACGGACTTTGTCCTCTTCCTAAAACGTTTGACAGCCGGCTCGCTTCCGTGACCGTCGTTATGCTAGTAATACTGGGCTCGGGTAAAAGATTTTCCGAACTGAGAACTTTATCCTCGTCGCTTTCGATTTTAAATCTGATGTCGTCGCTTGCACTCGACACGAACGATATGGAACGTTCGACGTTGGTCGATTCCTCGTCGTCGTCGTCGTCATGTCTTTCTCTTTCCACTTCCTCTTCTTCTTCTTCTTCCAACAATCCCGAATGGTACACGGTTAGAGATCTCTTTTCGGAAACGGGTAAACTTTCCCGACGTAAAATAGTTCGACAAATTTCCGGTTCTGTTGCTTGCATGCTCAAAGGTACCGAATGCCGCCGTCCGATTCTTTGATTGCAGTGCCATTCGGGTACGGTCAAGTAATTATTTTTCTTCGCGGGTTCGACGCCGCATTCTTCCATTATCGGCGACGTGTCGACCGACGTATCGTTTCCGGTTTCGATTCCGACGATTTCCTCCTCGTTTCCATTCCCTTTTGATTTTTCTTTTTCGTTTTCCAATTTGATCAACGCGTCCCATTTCAATTTGTTTTCGTGTAGATTTTTCATCATGTCATCGGATAAACCGTGTCCAAGAAAACGATGCCACTCTTCGAAAAGAGGATACACGACGAAAGTGAAAAAACCTGACCATGTGAAAACACACAGAGTTGTAAAAGACGACGGTTATGTTTTATGTAATAAAAATAAGGAACTTTCATCTGACCTGCTTGAATTTTTGGCACGGAAGTAGACTGTCTATCGCAGAGAGCCGTCACGGGTAAATTCAATTGCCTTTCGTAGTCTCCCTGTCGGAAAAACTCTTCGCAAACTTTCTGACTCCACTTTTTACTTATTTCCCACGGTCTGCACGGATTCGAAATGTCGGCACACTTGAGAGCTATCTGAAGTATGAAATGACGATGTTCTTCGAGTCTCATGTCGAGTATATCCTCATCTAAATATCTCTGAAATTTTAAAACGTTTCCGTCGATCTCACGGAGTCTCACACATATCGAACACCATCGAACAAAAGAACACGAGTACCTTAAAACTATTTAGGAACTCTTGCTGACGCGTGATGTCAGTGGCAAGTATGAGAGAGCTTATTTGTCTTTGTAATTCCGGTCTGCAGTCTTCTAATTCTTCGGCAACGTGACTCTCCAACAAACACCCTATGGCCGAACGCCAATGATGATTTTCAAGCACGGACGAATTCTATATATAAAAAAACCAAAGGTTATAAAAGGTCACGAAAAGGGAAGAGAAAGAGAGAGAGAGAGAAAGGATCAAACATGATTTTTTACTTACCTCATAGAGAGCAGCCAAGTGATTGGAAGTCGCAATGAGAAAAGGTTGATTCACTCCGGGATGATCTAAATCGTGAGTCACAGCCGCAATTATCGACGCCATTATTTCCAACGGAGTTAAATGTTCTCGAATCTAAAAGAAAAAGAAAAAAAAAGTTAATAATAACGGAAATGTCGGATTCTGAACGCGGGAAATTTTTTCCCCGCCTTTTTTCCCTTTTTCCTTCGCCATGTGTCACGCGATCAATCACTTCTTAGAGTATATTTATATATATTAAAAAAAAAAAACGAAACAAATCATTCATTCCCTTTCATTCCCGTTCCTCCTCCTAATCTCTCTCTCTCTCTCTCATTGTATCGCCCCGCCCCTTCCAAACCTTTTTTTCCTGTAGGAAACAGTGCATGGCTTGAGTCACATCCGTTGCGTGTATCGCATTATGATAAGGGTTGGTGCTATGATATCCTTCTTCTATCAAACCTTCAACGAAAAACAGAAAAAAAAATTTTTTTTTTTTTTTTCCCTCCAACTTCCGGTTGAAAATTTTCATAATGAAATTCGTTTCCTTTTGTAACTCACTGAAAAATTTCCAGCACCTCACGACGTCCAATTGAAAATGTTCCAGAAGGCCGTACCAATGAAACAAATGAACACACAAAACTGGCAGTGATCTACCTGGAAAATTCCCAACCCCCCCAAACAAAAAATAAATAAATAAATAAATAAATAATAATAATAATAATAATAATAATAATAATAATAATAAATTTTTTATTGAATCGTCGATTAATCGATTTAAGTGCGACGTCGACGATGACGTCGACAACGACAACAACAACAACAGAACAGAAATTTCCACGTATTTGATATGATTACAACTGATAATTCTCTTATCGCGGCTTTTCTTTTTTTTTTCTCTCGTTTACGTCGTCGACTTCGATCTCCGTCGCACTCTAACAATCATTGTGACCAACATTACAAAACAAAAAAAAAATTAAATAATTAAACTCTTGACAAAAAACTTACCTCCCGTAACGTTGTCCAAATTGAACGCGTTAAACGGCCATTCGTGAACCTGATCTAGAATGCGCTGGAAAAACAATAATAATAATAATAAATTATAAATGATAATAATAATAATAATAATAATAATTATAATAATAACGAAAAATCGATTAATTAATCGTTTTATTTATTTATTTTTACGATCAATCGAAATTTCGTTTGTTTTTCACAAAAAATATGTAAAATTTTCTTCGCGTTTTCCACCCGTTCGCGACCGAACGTGAATTTTTCCAACAACAACAACAAACAACGTTCGATTTGAACATTATTATTATTATTATTTTTTTTTTAAAACATTTTCCCTTTTATTTTACATTTTTTTTTTATTTTTTATTTTTTTCCGTTCGAACGCCGTTACGAATTCGATTTGGATCATTTTGACAGACAATTTCAAAATTGATTTATCATTTTCGATAATGATGATGATGATGATAATAATAATAATAATAATAAAATTCCGGTCCAATAATCGCAACCCGTGTCTGTTTTCCACATTTTTATTTTATTTTATTTTTTCATACTCTCTTTTCTCTCTCTTTCTCCCTCTCTTCTCCCTTTCTCTCTTTCTCTCCCTCTCTCTCCTCTCTCTCTCTTTTTTCCCATAAACACTTCCCAACTGCCTCTACTCTTAATTTTCTTTTTTTATCGAATTCCCATATCGGTGACGTTTAAATGAAAATTTACAAAAATTTTATTATTACGTTTGACTCCGAAAGAGAGAGAGAGAGAGAGAGGGGAGGGGAAAGACAGAAAGAGAAAGAGAGAGAGAAAGAGAGAATAATAACGAAATGGAGAAAAATTTTCTTGTTTTAAAAATGGAAAAATTACATCGCCCCGATCAAAAAAAGAAAAAAAAGGAAAAAGAAAATTAAACACGCGTGCGTGAGAGCGTTCACGTTTGTTCACGTTCATTTCTAGTGCTACGTCTTTTTATTTTTATTTTTATTATCGTCTGCTCTTATTTCTTTCTTTCTTTCTACTGACACTTACCTGAACTTGACCGTGGTGAATGTCGTCCAGGAGAGCGTGATTTTGTGTCAAAGACCTCGTTATCAAACGTTTCCGTCGTCTTTTGTGCATCGTTAAAAACCTTCCCGTGTGGAGGGGCCTCTTACATCTCGTGTCTAAAGTTTCCAAAAGGAGCCAATCGGATTGCGAGAGATGTTTAGTCCTCGATGGAGGCAGAGGAAGTGGAGGATGATGATTTCCAGAATCTGTAACAAAACGCACCAAACAAAAATAAATCGACGTTCTCACTAAAAAATTATAATTCGTTTTCACATCCACCCTCCCCTCCCTCCTCTAATAATAATAATAATAATGATCATTATTTTTTTTCCTTTTTTTTTTTTTAAAAACATTCCCACTCTCTCTCTCTCTCTCTCTCTTCTTGCCTTTCGTTTCCTTTTTGACATTTTTTTTTTTCGTCCAATTTCTCAACTTGTTGGCTATCCTCACGATGAAACCCTTTAGAGGAACGCATCCAAACATTTTTTTTTTATTAAAATTTAAAATAAATAAATAAAAAAAAATCGATAAATAATCGAATCGAATCGAATCGTAGAAAATCGAACGGATTTTATTTTTCGCGTAAAAAATATATATCGAATCGAACGGATTTTTTTTCGTTTCTTTTATCACTCTCGAACGTTTACAATCGTTTGACGATCGCGTCGAAACTGAGAATATACTCGTGAAAAATAATAATAATAATAATAATAATAATAATAATTAACGAATCACTTTTTTTTTCCTTCTATTCTCGCGATTCGTCGTCGTCGTCGTCGTCGAATTAATATTGTTTGAACACGTTCGTTTGTTAGTTTGTTCGTTCGTCATTTTTTTTCCCAGAACGTCATCATCGTTCGTTTAAATCCGTTTGTTTAGAAACGGATTGCGTGATGAGTTCGTTTTAGTCATCCTTGTCGTCACGAAAGCATAATCATATATTTTTTTTTCCTTTTCTTATTCAAACGATGAATAAACGAACGCGAAGAAAAAAAAAAGGCGGGAACGCGGCAAAAATTCAAAAATTTAAATTTATTTTCATTCAAACCGTTTAAAATGTGTCACGACTTTTTTCTATTATTAGAAGTGTGACAAAGGTGAGCTTAAAATAACACACACACACACACGCAAAAAAAAAAAAAGTAAACAACCAAACGTTTAATTCGAAAAATAACAACAACGACAACCGAACAAACAAAACCAACACAAAACAAACAAACAAACAAAAATTTTCTTTTTTTTTTTTTTTTTTTTTCTTTCTCTCACTTTTATTTAAAAATCTAATGCGGGACTCGGCAAACGATTTAAATAATTTCTTTGATGCCATTTTTTCCTTTTTTTCCTTTTTTTCCTTTTTGTTTTTCACGTCTACGTCCTGCTTGCAACCCGTGATTCGTTTTCACATATCTCTCTCTCTTTCTCTCTCACGACGACGTACTACACAATTTTCCTTCTTATCGTAAACACTATCGCAACACGAGTATATCTTATCACATCAATCTCTCTCTCTCTCTCTCTCTCTCTTTTTCTCTCCGGTTGAAATGGAAAATTCAATTGTCGTTCGATCGATCGATACACAAAACTTTTCCCGATTAATATATTTTCGTAAGATGGATACTCGCCACCCAACTCTCACGTTCGTTCGTACTCATCGACAAATCGTAATAGACGAACGTTATTCGAACGGATTTTCTAAGGTCAAATATACGAGCGAACCAATCGTAACCCGTACATATATATGTGATGTACACGCGTGCATGCGTGCATGCGTGCGTGCGTGCGTGCGTGAGTGAGTGCGTAAAAATGTTTTTATCATTGACAGCCACCTTCGTCTTTGTATTATTATTATTATTATTATTATTATTAGTATTATTATCTTTTAAGTGATGACTTTGACGCGCAAATTTTGTCGAATTGTTTAAATTTATGACGACGACGACGATGATAGTAATCTTTCGTCGACAAAAATTTATTTCCCCGCACTCCTCCTCCCCTCCCCTCACACGTCAATCCATCAATGAAAACGAAGAGGAGAAGAAAGAGAGAGAGAGAGAGAGAGAATAACACAATACGGTAGAAATTACGTGACTTTTAACACGAAACCATTTTCACATTAAATTTGTGGAAAATAACGGGTGAGTGGGAGGGAGGGAGAGAGAGGAGAGTATGAGAAGAGTAAGGAAAGAAAAAAAAAAAAATTAACGGTAATACGAGAGAGAGAGAGAGAGAGAAAACCTTTGGGAAAAAAAAATGGGCCGCGAGGCAAAATATAATCGTTACAAAAGAATTAACTTTAAAAAAAAAAAAATTATAATTAACGTAAATAAATAAATAAATTTCCTGTTTAAAATTAATTACTGTGATGATAATAATAATGATAATAATTATAAAGACAAAAGCAACAACAACAACAACAAAGATAGGAGGGGAGAAGGAGGGAAAAAAAAGAAATTTTTCACGGAAGTAACGAGAAAACCGCACGTAACGAGGGAAAATACGCGACGGCGAAGAACAAACAAACAAACAAACGTGAAAAATTACAAAACGGACAAAGTTGTTATTATTATTATTATTATTATTATTATTATTTAAAAAAATCCTGTTGCGACAGCCAATTAAAAAAAAAAAACCACCGCCACCGTGAAAACGCTCGAGGAGGAGGAAAAAAAAAAATTTTTTTAATAAATATCGCGAAATTAAGACGTAACGCTACGATCGTCGGGGCAGAAGACAAAGAAGAAGATGAATATGGCGTCGGGTGAAAATAAACGTGGGTTGTAATACATTCAGGATGGCAAACGATGACGTATAAAAAAAAAAAAATTATTATTATTATTATTATTAGTTCAAACCTTACAGAGTCGTAATCGAATTGTGAAAGGTTAAAAGGTGAACAAGCCTTAAAGTTTAAACAAAATGTAGGCGTTAAATGAAATGAAAATAATAATAATAATACGGGGAGGGGGGGGAGAAAAAAATGTCGTAACGAGAATGTCGACGTTGTTTAAATCTCGCCCCGAAAGAAAAAAAAAAAGAATTTCGATAATAAAAAGTGAAATGTCAAGAAGAATCGAAAAAATTACAATTTAGAAAAAAAGTGAAAACGAGTTTGCTAGAAAATCCGTTACGACGCCATCTTGTCATACTCATCTCTCCCCCCTCCCCCCGAAGGGCCAGAGCACAAACGTCGCCGCGATTTCAATTTAACGAAATCAAAAAAAAAAAAAAAAAAAAAATTCGTATCAGAAAACGATACCTCGATCGATCGATCGATGGATCGATCTATCGATGGAACTTTAAACCCTGAGCGAGATGAATTAAAGCAACGAAAAAAAAAAGCCTGAAGAAAAAATAATAATAATAATAAATTGAAAGAACTTTTCAAGGTTTGGTGAACGTCCTACCTTGGCAGAGAAAGGCGAGCTAATGTAATTATTAAAATAATAATAATAATAATAATAATAACAATAATAACAATAATAATAATAATAATAACAACAACAACCTAGCCAACAACAACAACAACGGCTACGACGACGAATAACCTTTGCACGTATCAATTTAATTGTTTTTTTTTTTTTTTTTTCATTTTTTTCAATTCTTTTGCTAACGTTTAAATTTTTTTATTTTGCGCGCGCAAAATTTATCTTCGATTGAAAATTTGCTTCACGTAAGTAGTATCGACCAACCGACTTTTCAAATTTTTTTTTTTTTTTAAATTCATTCGGAACCGTTGGAATTCATTCGTATTATTATTATTATTATTATACGATTCGACGCGATTTTTTTTTAATGATCGATATTATTATTATTATCGAAAAATCTCATGGTTTAATAATAATAATGATTATACCTTTACAACGATGACATTTATTAATAATGATAATAATAACAGATTTTGGAAAATCGCGTAAGTTGTAAAGCGCGTAACGATTCTTTCGCGATCATCTTTTACGTTTGTCTTAAATCGAATCGAATCGATTCTCGATCGATACTCGAATAATAATAGTATCATTCGTGAAAAAAAAAAAAATAAATAAATAATAATGATAATAATAAGAAAAATCGTTAACCTTTGTAATAAATTATTAACGAACGAGAACGGACGTTTCATTAACGGATTATTTTTAAGCGTGTACGCACATACGTCTCTCTTTCTCTAACGCGCGCGCGTGTGTGTGCGTGTTCCTCCTCTCTCTCCCCCCCCCTTTCTTTTTTTTTCAGAAATTTTTTCGCGAACGCAATTTTTTTTTTTTCTTTTTTTTTAACGAAGCAATGAAAATTACGATTTCCGCTTTGGTAAATCCGTATTTAAAAATCACAAAAAAAAAAAGAACGATGATGATGATAATAATGATGATGATGATGATGATGATGATGATGGTGATGATAATAATAGTGATAATTGGATAACATACCCAGCATTTTAATGAATAATCCATTTTCAGTTCTGTCGATGGAAATCCCACCGCGTCTCTGAAATGAAAAAGAAAAAAAAATCAAAAAAAATTTTTTTTTGTTTTTATACCTTTTTAAGTAAGGTATCGCACGCGTTCGATTGCATTCGTGCGTGCGTGAGGGCGTTCGCGTGTGCGTGTATGCGAATTATAAGAATCGCGTAAAAAAAAAAAAAAAAAATGCAACGCAACGCAAGGATTTACTCCCTGGAATTAATACAATTTTAATTATTATTATTATGATTAAATTTTTCCAGTTCGATGACACTGTTTTTTACTTAATGTGTAGTAGTAGTAATAATAATAATAATAATAATGATGATGATGATGATAATAATTTGGCTTTAAAGTCAAACAAACGATTTGAATTTTTTTTTTTTTCGTTTTCACCATCTTTCTCTCTCTTTCTCTTTCCCTCTCGAGAAGGAACCGAACCTGAATTTTATGTACGTGTGTGTGCGCGTGCATAAAACTCTAATAATAATGATAATAATAATGATGATAATAGCGACAAAATTTTCTTTCCCTTCGAATAATTTAAAAAATAAATTTTGAAAATATAAACGAACGAGTTTTAAAAGAAACTTCCTTCTCCTTCTCTCGTTTCTCGAAATTTGGAAAAATATAAAAAAAAATTTTTCTTCTGCTTTTAAAGTAGGAAAGCAAATAATAATAATAATAATAATCAAATTATCACATCGCACACCCACTCAAAAAATTACATATTTATATAATTTATAAATAATCTTTCCGAAAATTTCTTTTTTTTTTTTTTTTTTTTTTTTTTTTAAATCGATCGGAAACGAACGAACGAGCGAACGGAATAAATTCACGAATGAATGAATGAATGAATGAATGAATGAATGAATGAACGAACGAACTAAAAAAACTAAAAAAACGATCGTTTCGGTTTTTATACAAAATTTCACGATTAAATATTTTTTTACTAGCGTTACGAAACGTTCGCTCTTAATGCATTTTTTCACAAACGAAAAACAAAAAAACAAAACGAAATTCA